AACACTAAATAAAGACATGTGGTGCATCTGTTATCCCAGCTACTTGGGAGTCTAAGGAAGGAGGCTCGAAACCTCAAGGCCAGCCTCAGCAACTTAGAGAGATCCTGTCTCAAAATTAATTAAGAGGGATTGGGGGTGCAGTTCAGTGGTAGAGCGCTTGTCTAGCCTGTGTGAGTCCCTGAGTTTAATTCCCAATACCACAAGAAAAGGACAGAAAGAGAAAAAGAAGAAATGAAGCATAGGAGAAAGTTTATGTGGCCTTGGGTTTGACCACAAAAGAAAAAAACTGAGAGGCTGTACTTCACCAAAATTGAAAACTCTGTTCTAGGACACTAGAAAGAAAATGCAAAGCTAAACCATACACTGGAGAAGATATTTGCAAAACACAAGTCTGAACTTAGAGCCAATATGCACCACCAACACTTTAAAATGAATAACAAGAAAACCAACCTGCTGGGCGCAAGGAGGATCATAAGTTCAAAGCCAGCCTCAGCAGCTTCAAGAGGCCCTAAACAACTGGGCAAGACCCTGTCTCTAAATAAAATACTAAAAGGGCTGGACATGTGGCTCAGTGGTTGAACACTCCTAGTTTCAATCCCCAGCACCAAAAAAGAAAAAAAGAAAAAGAAAACAGCCAACCCGTCAGATGGAGGAAGAACCAGTGTTTTTCCTCTTTGCAGACCCTCAACACAGCACAGAACACTTTTGACCAGATGTGCAGGGGGGTCTCCCCCTTCTCCAGGCAATTCTTTTCTCCTGCAGACACCGCCTGGGTCTCCTGTAACTCAATTCAGTTCTGACACTTTCCACCTGGAGTTTTAGGTTAAGGGCTCAGTCCCACAAGGCTGCCCCCACTACAGCCACAAATAAAAAGCCCCAGGTTGTTCTACCTGCACTTCTGACCTACTGGCCCTATGTCAGGGCTTCTTAAGAACCCCTCCTTGATTTCAATTAATTTGCTAGGACAAGTCACAGAATTCAGGCAAACACATTTACTAGTTTATTATAAAGGATATCACAAAGGATACAGAGGAAAAGCACGTATAGGGCAAGATGTGGGGACATGCATAGAGCTGCCTGCCCTCTCATGTACACCCCCCTCCAGGAACCTCCAAGTGTTCAGTAATCGGAAAGCTCTCCATACCCTGTCCTTTTGATTTTTTATGGAGCCATGACCAATTACATCATTGGCCACTGGTGACCAACTCAAACTTCAGTCCCCACTCTCTCCCCAGAGGATGGGAGAGTGGGGTTTAAAATTCCAACCCTCAAATCATGCTTTGGTCTTTCTGATGACAGCTGATAGCATCCCACCCCCCCAAACACCAGTCATCTCATTAGCATACAAAAGACACTCTTATCACTCTGGAGATTCCAAGGGTTTTAGGAGCTGTGTGCCAGAAAAAAGGGACAGAAACCAGATATATATATTTCTTATTATATCACAGTATCACACAATCCAATTAAGAAATGGGCAGAAGATCTGAACAGATTTCATCAAAGAATACATACAGATGGCGGATAAGGATAGCAAAAGAGGCTCAATATCATTTGAGGGAATTTCAAGTTAAAACAACAAATTAAAACAAGATACCACTAAATACCTATTGGAATAGCTAACTTTTTTTTTTTTTTTAACTGACAATACCAAATTCTAGTGAAGATGCAGAGCAGCAGGAACTCTCACTCATTGATAGTAGAAATGTAAAATGACTCCTACTTTGGAAGACAGCTTGGTAATTTGTTGTTTTTTCCCCCAGTACTGGTGATCCTCCCCACCCCCACCATACAAGGGATTGAACCCAATTGAACCCAGGACTTAAGGTATGCTAGGCAAGCTGGGATGTACCTCCAGCTCCAGTTTGGTAGTATTTATACAATTAAACATAATCTTACCAAACAATTCAACACTCATACTCCTAGATATTTACTCAATTGATTTGAAAACTTAGGTCGGAACTGGATACATCAGCGCATGCCTGTAATCCCAATTACTTGGGAGGCTGTGGCAAGATCTCAAGTTCAATCCTAGACAACATAGCAAGAGCCCATCTCAAAAAGAAAGAAAACTTAAACGTCTATACAAAAACCTACACACAAATATATATATAGCAGGTTTGTTTATAATCAAGAAAAACTAGAAGCAGCCAATACATCCTTCAATAAGTGAATGAATAAACTAAGGTACATCTATACAGTGAAATATTTTTCAACAATAAAAGGAAATGAGTTATCAATCTGTGAAAAGACCTGAAGGAACTTTACATGTGTGTTGGTTTTTTGCTTTTGTTTTTTTTTTTTTTTTTTTGGTACCAGGGATTGAACCCATTTTTTTGTTTGTTTAAATTTTGAGACAGGTCCTGAGTAACTGCTAAGTTACTCAGGGCCTCACTAAATTGCTGAAGTTGGCTTTGAACTTGTCCATGCCCAGCTTTACATGCTTATTGTTAAGTTAAAGAATCCCGTCTAAAAGTTCCATACTGTATGATTCCAATTATATGACATTCTGGAAAAGGCAAAATATAGAGATGGTAATGTGATGAATGCTTGCCAGGAACTTGGAAGGAGGGGATGGATAAATAGGTAAAGCACAGGGGATCTTTAGGGAAATAAAGCTATTCTGTATGATATTGTAATAAAGTCATGGTAGATACACGACATCATGTATTTGTCAAACCCCACAGAACTTTACAGCACGAAAGTGAATGTTAATATTTACAATTAAAAAATCATCTGGGAGGGCTGGGGATATAGCTCAGTTGGTAGAGTGCCTGACTCTCATGCACACGGTCCTGGGTTCAATCCCCACCACAAAAAATTAAATAAATAAATAAAAATCATCTGGGAGGTAGAAGAATACTGGGAAAGCATGCAGCCTATGACAAGAGCATCTACTTGTATTATGGATTCATGAAACAATTTTATGAAGGGAACAGACAGAAAAGGGCACTGTCCTAAGTACCTCTGACTCAAATCCATCATTACATGGACTGCTCTAGCCACTTTCCTGTGTTCCTTGGTAAATTCCCCCCTCAAACAGGAGGAAACCTGGCTCCCACCGTCCACAATTCATTTACTTAATTGTTCAATTCCAGTATACATATGTAGCAATATCAGAATGGTTAACCCAAATGCCATGGGAAAGAAGATAATCCACCAGAGTACAGTGTTTACATACAGTTTCTATAAGAATAAAGGGAAAGAAACTGTATGGTTTCTTCCTGTTTGAGGGGGGAATTTACCAAGGAACACAGGAAAGTGGCTAGAGCAGTCCATGTAATGATGGATTTGAGTCAGAGACATCAGTAAGAACTCATGTGTAGCTTAATATGACTGTAGATGGTTCTACATAGAAATATTTCTAGATATGCATGTCATAGGGAGCTAGTACTCACACAACTATATCTTGGCTCTGTTGGGTAAGGGTTATGCTTCCTCCTTGAGGGTGGGGTAATTTATATAGATTCAGTATGGCCAGAGACAACAGCATGATTGACACGATAGTCTGGGACTTGCCAGATGTGGTGGCACACACCTGTAATCCCAGTAACTGGGGAGTATGAGGCATGAGGATCCTAAGTTCAAGGCCAGCCTGAGCAACCTAGTGAGACTCTGTCTCAAAATAAAAATAATAATGGCTGGGGATAAAGCTCAGTAGTAAAGCACCCCTGGGTTTAATCCCCGGTGCCAAGAAAGAAAAAAGAAATCAAGCCATTGGTAAGCGGTCAACAGCTGTTTACATATCCCATTCTAGTGTGTTCTAAAGCTGACAGGACCCAGGATTATTTAACCCCTGATTTAGGCTCTTTGATGACCTTGGTGGGGAGCATGTAGGTGTGCTGCGAAACTACAATGCTAAGGAAGACCAAGAGTGTTGGGCATGAAGCCCCAAGTATGTTAGAAGTCATGAACTCTGTGTGATCACTGGAACCTTCACAGGTTGGAAAATTAACCCTCCATGAAAGCCTGGGTACACCCCCCCAGCTGCTCCCTGGAAAGGTGGGATGCATAAGACCATGTGGGTCCTGCAGTGGGCCATGGAGGAGCAAGCAGAGTAAAACATTCTGAACCAGGAGACATAAATTTGGCTTCTTAAACTAAACTCTGCCTATGAACCTAACAACTTATTTCTTTATATGGTGGTCGGGGGAAAAGAAAGAGATGTACGTTCACTATTAACAAATAGGCAAGTGCTAGATAAGCGGTTTCAAAGTACGGCCAGAGGACAACTTGAGGTCCTTGAGACTCTTTGACAGGGCCTGCTGGTCCTCTTTTCAACTAGCTACTTCATCTGCCAGAGTCCAGAATTTCTTTCAAATATTTCCTCCAAAACAGATTCCTGTTGTCCTTTATTAAGCCAAAGAAAATTTCGAAAATATAAAATGATTACACTCTTCTCACTTTTTAATTTAAAAAGGGGGCAGGGGGGGAACACGTTTGGAGATGTAGCTCAGTGGAGAGCACTTGCCTAGCAAGCACAAGGCCCTGGGTTCAATCCCAAGCACTGAAAGAAAAAAAAAAATCATTTGTGTTAAAATTTAAAGGGTTTTGTTATTTTAAAAACAAATTATTGTAAACAACATTTGTTGCAATTCTAATATCGTTAGCAATAAGATTCAGGCAAAAGCTCTTTGGGACGCTCCAAATTTGGGGGCGTGCAAAGGGTCCTGGGACCCAAGGTCGGGGAACCAAGCAAACGAGGCGTCTCACTCTGAGCTGCCTCGGACTCCTCCAGACCCCTCCTACGACGCGCGCGTTCCGAGTGCCACTGCGGGGGCAGGCGGGTTAGGTTTTCCCGGGCTGAAGTCCAGTCACTCGACCCAACGTGGTACCCGCTTTCCGGGTCCACGCAAGGCCCGCCCGGGGAGGCACCCGCAGCGGGCCACCTCTGCGGGGTTCCCGCGAGGGCTCCGAGGTGCTGCCCGGGCCAGTGGGGCTGTGGCGGTAACCGCCCGTCGGCGACCCCGGGCTGGCTGCGGGGACTGGGGACCTGCACTCACAGCCTCGGCAGCGCCGCCGCCGTCGCCGCCTCTGTCACGCGCGCCGCCCTCCGCAGCAGACGTAGCGCCATCTTCCCGACGTGCGCGCCCCCTCGCCCACCTGGCTCCGCCCCCTCCTCTTAGCCCCGCCCCTCAACCGCTTCCCACTGCGCTTTAACTTGGCTCCGCCCTCTAGCCACGCCCCTCTGCGCACGTGCCCCACCCTGCGAGTCCCGACTGGCCCTAGCCAAGCCCAAGGTCAGCCTCCGAACCAGCCTGGGCTGTGCTGGCCCTCAGGACTTTCTTCCCCGCGTCCCTGGAAAACTGAGCACAGGTCCCACACGGGTGTCTCCACCTGAGCGGTTTCTTCCAGGACCGAATCCAACTCACCCTCGCTTCTGGGTTTTTTAATTGTTGAGAGAACTTGCATTTTTCCAGCCACAACAGGCTAAATTTTCTAGAGATTTCTTTATTTTGCCAAAATACCACCAAACACAGTTTGTGAACCCGACATGTGCAGCCTTGGTTAGCAATTTAAGAGTGGTCACAGAAAATGCGGGAAGACTCCACTCTGGAACATATAGTACATGCCAATAATAGGGTCAGAGCAGCTGTTGGCTCCTCTCTGGGCAGAGACATGCAGGCTGAGACTGGGGGCAAACACAACCCGTCACTCTCTGGCCTGCCGGCCATCCAGCGGTGGGGAGAATGCTTTAAGATGTTCAAACAGGCCTTTTCCTCCTCCTCACTGAGATCAGCAGTGCCCCCACCTATTGTTTGGCCCATTCTCCTCCCTACCTACTATCTTTTCTTTACCTTCCAAATCTGCATTTTTCTTTTTCAGCTGTTGCTACTTTCATCATTTCATCATGCTAAATTCATCATCTGAATTTACACTGAAAACATTTCTCAGAAGTGTGCAAACCTGAATCTTGCCCTTGGTACAGGTGTAACAGTTTAAACAAACAGAACCTGTGCCACCAGAGTGGGTTCCAAGTTCTTTGGGAAAGTCCATGTGATTGGGAACTTGGATGCTGCCTATCTGCTGGACAGAAGTGTTATTGTACTGGATACCAACAGGAGAGATTGTTTACACCACCCTTCACCCCAGGCCTCTCCTGCCTACTCCACTAAGGATCAGTTTTTGCCAGTGCTTTCCCAGCCACACGGAAGCAAAAATCAGAAACACTCATATTATCTTTAATTAAAACTTCAATATTCTGTTCATAATGCAATTTTCCATTATCTTGATTTTCAGAATATTGAAATATAACTTAATTACTGAGGTTTTGGAGGCTGCCCCTTAATTTTTGCATCTGAGGCCAGTGCTTCACTGGTCTCTTCCTGGTCCTGACCCCATTCTAATTACCTTCATCTCCCTGGATTGTTCCAAGGTCTGCTTGCTTTCATTCCTCACTCCTACAATCAATCTTTTGCCCTACAGTCTGGCTGATCTTTTATTGTATTATTTTTCAGGATTGGGCTTTGGACCTATGGACTTGCACACTGAGCACACACTTTATCTCTTTATTTATTTTGAGAAAGGGTCTCATTATGTTGCCCAGGCTGGCCTCAAACTTGTGGTCTTGCTGCCTCAGCCTCACAAGTAGTGGGATCACAGATGTGGGCCGCCACACCTGGCAGGCTGACCTTTTAAAAGCATGACTGGGGCTGGGGATGTGGCTCAAGCTGTAGTGCGTTCGCCTGGCATGTGTGAGGCGCGGGTTCGATCCTCAACACCACATACAAACAAAGATGTTGTGTCCACCGAAAACTAAAAAATAAATATTAATAAATAAATAAATAAATAAATAATAAAAGCATGACTGGTGCAGTTCACTAGCTGTGTGACTTTGGACAAGTCACTTACCATCTCCATGCTTCAGTTTCCTCTTCTATAAAATGAGGGTATAGGTTGTATTAGCCTCATGGGGCTGTTATGAGCATAATTGGATAAACACATCCAATTATGTTGGGTTATCATGGATATCTATCTATCTATAGGAAGGAGAGAGTGAGGGGGGTGTTTATAAGCTGATCAAGTGTTGCATAGTGTTAACTGTTCCTCATTACTATTATCACTACATTGATATCCTTCTTAAATTGCTTTGGTGGCTTCCAATAGGACGCATTTAGAATAAAATCCAAATTCTTTACCACAATCCTCCAGGCCCCAGGAGGTCTGGCCCCTGCAGGTTTCTCCAACCTTCCCTCTAGATGCCCCCTGACTTCCTTTCATGTTGTATTTTGCTTGCAGTGCTGGGGATTGAACCCAGGGCCTCACACATGCTAAGCACACTCCACCTCTGGACTACACCTGCAGCCCATCTTTTGAGACATCTTTCCATGTCTTTTTTTTTTTTTTTTTTTTTTTTTAGTACTGGGAATTGAACTCAGGGGCACTTGGCCACTGAGTCACATCCCCAGTCCTATTTTGTATTTTTTGGGGGGTGGGGGGGTACAGGGGATTGAACTCAGGAGCACTCGACCACTGAGCCCCAACCCCAGCCCTATTTTGTATTTTATTTAGAGACAGGGTCTCACTGAGTTGCTTAGCACCTTGCTTTTGCTGAGGCTGGCTTTGAACTCCCAATTCTCCTTCCTCAGCCTCCTGGAGCCACTGGGATTATAGGCATGTACCACCGCTCAGTTCTTTCCATGTCTTTTAAGTTCACTAAGCTCTCACCTACTGTGGGGCCTTCACACGTGCTACTCCCCATCTCCAGATGCTCATACTGCACCTTCTCATCCTCCAGGTTGGTCAGCCTGTATACTACCCACTCACAGGCGGTGGGCTAACAATCTCTCCCCTATCTAGTTCATGGTCACAGCAACTAAATCATAGGTCTCACAATGTCTGTTTGTGTGTTTGTGAATTTACCTTCCCTAGTGGTTCTCAGAGGGTGGGGTGGGGGTGTGGGATTGCTCCCCTCCTATGAGGTGGGTTTTGGGGGTGCAGTATTGTTCTCTTATGAGCAGGACTAGAAATGTGCTAGGCAGTCACGCATGGAAAAATAAGTGCTAGTTGCTGGTCTAGAGCGTAAGCTCTTTGAAAGCAGGCACCTTATATGTCTTGTCACTGCTGGGAAGTGACTACCCAGTGAGCAGTTGTCCAAAATATACAAGGTGAAAATGCCCCACCAGCTTCATTATAATTCTGAAAACTGCAAGATGTCCTCATTAAACAATGCCTGGACCAGCGCAGAGGTGCAAGCCTGTAATCCCAGCAGGAGGATCTCCAGTTCCAAGCCAGCCTCAGCAAAAGGCAAGGCGCTAAGCAACTCAGTGAGACCCTGTCTCTAAGTAAAATACAAAATAAGGTTGGGGATATGGCTCAGTGGTGGAGTGCCCATGAGTTCAATCCCCAGTACCCAAAAAGAAAAGAAAAAAATGCCTGGAACCTAAAGTAGATCCTACAGTGACTTTTTTGCTAACTATTCAATCTCTCAGATATTGTTGGAAGCAGTTGCAGGTGATTGTGGTTTTGTTGAGCTTCTCCACAAAATTACTAATGTGTGGGTTTTAAGAACTCTTTTCTAATGCTAGTGTACGTTAAAATAAAGCGTTAGTCACTTTCTCTTTGCAGTGTGTGGATTTCTGGAGGCTCTATTTCCAGAAAGAATAAATAAAGGGATCCAGAGCTCCTCATTTGAGGCTAGTCAAATCTGTTCTTACAGTCTCCAAAACCAAAAAGAAAATCGAAGCACCTATTTTTCCAAGGGCATGTGAAACTGAGCAAGGTGAATGCTTCCATGAGAGGCGTTATTCTGTTGAGTCTCAACAGACTGCGGTAGGAGCCTGGCAGAAATTGGGGAAATAAGGGGTTGGGGAGGTTAGACACATCATACCTCTAGAGCATAATGGRTTTGGGTGGCAACAGTGGGGACCAGAATAATCAACCAACTCTGATCATTATTGAAGCTGGGTGGTGGTTATGTCAGGGCCCAGGACACAGTATTCCAACATACAGTGCCTTGGCATATTGAGTACTCTGAATTGAGGGAGAATGGTAGGGCCCCAGAGCAATGGCTCTCTGACATTCTCCTGTCCTATCTTCTGCCCCTGCCAGCCCCACAAAGTGATTTACAAAATCCAGAATTCCTCTTCTCCAAGGGAAGAAGAAGCTTTTGAAAAATAAAACCCCTCTCCCCATAAAACTTGTGAGGATGGCCTTAGGCCTGAGCCTAAGCAACTCATTTTAAAAACTCCAGCTTGAAACCCGCAGTCTCCCCAGGCACATCCAACAGATCCCTCCTGTATGGCCACAGACAAGTTACTTCCCCTCACCCTGATAACAGAGTGAAGCCTCTGGCAGGCTGTCCYAGCCTGAGGAGAAGATCAGGGTAGAGACCACCAGACCAGATGTTTCTGACCCCAGGGTAAATGATGTCATGGAGAAATCTGGTGGTAGCTGATAAGGATTGAAAAGGGGGGTCAAAAGCCCCCAAATTTAGTATAAATAATAGAGCTAATGAACAGGGATTCAGCCAGCCGAAACAAGGATGCACTCGAGCTGGAGAGCCTGATAAGGACCTGACATCCCATTACTTGTCATGGTTTCCTGATCCTCTGCGTGATCCTCACGGCTTTCAAACTCTACCGTCTTGTCTGGACCTTAGTGAGAGCCTCACCTTCTCCCTTGGACCCTCTCCTTGACCAGTTGTCCACTYCATGACAGGAAAAGCCTGCTTTGGTTCCTGACTTGATCACAGCGGTCTGAGAGTGCATCTRCTGGACATAAAGCCTAAGGCTTGAGACTTTTGAACTTAGCACACAGARGGAATGTCTGTCATTAGCCTGTCGTGATTAAGTGTGTTTTCAGTGCTTAGAATTAATCTAGAATTGTTTGCTGTGAATTAATTAACCTAGAATTGTTTACTGTGAATTGATTATGTCTATTGCAGTGCCCAGCATTAAGGATTGTCATTTTCTTGATTAAGAACCTATAAGTGACATTGTATTGAGTAACTGAGTGAATAAAGCATTGAAAGGGGCAGAAGCTCGTGGACATTCTTTATTTCTCCCCTCAACTGCATATGTCGCAATTTTGCCCCCTCACRACAAACCTACACTCTCTCTCTTCTCCTTTGAAGACCCTCATTCCAGAGGGGTCCTGCCCTACA